TAGATGGGAAAATCTAGACCGCGGTCAATATCGATTTCAGCCAATCAAATTCGTGAATTCGGTAGTTCCCAGTCCTTGTGAGACACAGCCATATAATGTAGATACTGCGGAAAGGTGATTTGACTGAAATACCAACAGCCTATTTCTCCATCCCCCGACCGCCAACCCCCCCTAAAAAAGGAATTAAAAATAGGAATAGTTGTGTATTTTTCTTGTTCCTACTCGCAGACTCAGAAGAAGAGATAAAACAGGGAATTCTACAAGGCAACTCTCCTAACTCACAAGCATTTTGGTTTCAACGCAACATCACAGATATGAAGGATAATGTGAAAAATAACAGTGCTGCCAAGTATGTGGACATCGAAGAGGTCCCAAAAAAACTGTGTGACAAAGGAGAAGCCAAAGGATTAGACAAGACCGCTAAGACACTTCTGAAATCACTAAAGGAAAAGCAAATTCCCAAAGGACTCGACAAAAGCAACATTGTTTCCTACAACATTAAGTGGGGAGAGAAAGGGGTTGATACTCACGCGAATGAAGAACATGCTCAATATATTGACAAACTGTGTCAAGATTTCTTTGCCAAGATGAAAGACAGCATCCAGAAGGCCATCAAGGAGAGGAAAAATCCCAAACTTGATGATGCATTGTTTGAAGACGTTGTGCAACATCTAGCGTGCTGCAGGGAGATTTGTTCTTCTTGTTGTCTTCCAAGAGCAGCACTGGATAGTATTAAGAGTTATGTCACTGGGCAAGGCAATAGTTCTCTGGTTATTCATGGTCAGCAAGGATCTGGTAAGACCTCGTTAGTGGCTATGGCAGCCAACAAAACTCAGTCGTGGGTTGGGTCTAAGGCGGCAGTTGTTGTACGTTTCCTTGGATCTACCCATAATTCATCTAAAGTTCACTCACTTCTGCAAAGTATCTGCCATCAGCTACGAATAGTGCTCAAAGTTGATTGTAAGAATGTCCCACAGGTTTGTTGGTATTGTTACTTGTAATACTACGTTGAGTAAGGTGCGACGAAAGTTTGGTGAGCAGGTTTTAACGTGAAAATAGTGTCGTTGTCGTGGGCAACTGGCTCCGTTTCCAACAGCAACTTGTCGGCCTTTGACGTCATTGGCAGCAAAGCGCGCGAAATGGTAGGCGACGCGCGGCGACGCACGTTTGTTGATATTGTTACCAATGGAAACAAGGTAAGTTTTCCGTGACAACACCGTAATTTTAAGGCTAAAACTTTGTCACCAAACTTCCGTCGTACCTATCTCAACTGATAATTGTAGTAAACCATTGTCGAAATTTCCCTCTGCCATTTCTTGATCTCAAACTCAAATTTCATTTTCAATAAGCTTCGATGGCTCCCATTTGATTCAGTACCCACGAAGCCTTCATGAACAGACCTAAAAGTTAGAACAACAGTTTACTGGAAGTTTGTCTGCGTAAGAGAGTTTTAATAAGTCTTGCTTCAATATCTTCTGTATGATTCCAGGCATAGATGAGTTTCCTTTTTGGTTTCTTTCAAATCATAACTTTTCGGACCAACTGTTTCTACCTAAACTATTTTGGGTTTAAGGAGGTGGGTGCCAATCAGTAAGCAACTATAGCGGCAATCCAGTTGGGCTTGATATACGTGTGACAGGGGTTATTAAAGTCTAATGAACTGAAAATCCCTCGTAGGACTATCAAAATCTGGTGAAAGAATTCCACAAACTTCTTCAAAAGGCCTCAGCCTCTCAACCATTGGTGTTATTTCTTGATTCACTTGACCAACTTCGCAGCTATAACATCAGGCGCGAGTTGTCATGGTTACCAGGAAAACTGCCTGCACATGTGAAGATTATTCTCACTTGTTTGACTGGAGACCAAGCTTTTTCCTTCCTCAAGGTAGGTACTTTTTTGTAGAATGAGATTTGAATACTTGAGATGTCACAAGTGAAAGCAGTATACGATTTTCGGAGGTAAACTGGGTGAGAAATAGGTTTGAATGACAAGACCGATAAATACAATGGATTAAATATTGCCCTTGAAATTCACTTCCCGAGAAGCGTGTGCGTTATTTACATAACGCTGTTACGTGGCCCTAACGGGTAGATGACCCATCTACCATGGAAACAAGCTGGCAATGATAAATGCCACTCCCTAAAAGTGTTACCCAAAAATAGTTCTAGTAAATGCTTCTTGGCCAACACTAGTTTAACACTTTTCTCACGTCCTTATTTCATTTCGAGTATTAAGGTCTCCTAGAACACGAGAATTTCACTTGTTCTTAGTTCCACCATACTTATTTCAGGGCATTCTTTCCGACGAGAGCCAGTTCCTAGAGGTCCCAGAATTAACTGATGGCGAAGCAGTGGATATTCTTAAACTGCAGTTAAGTGTTAACCACAGGAAGCTGAATGAATCACAAGAAAATGTTGTTCTAAAGCACGTTTCAAACTGTCGTTCCCAGCTGTACTTTAAGCTTGCCCTTGAACAGGCTGTTCAGTGGAAGTCATATACAGTTTTGGAAGAAGGAAGTCTTGGTCCTTCGGTTCGTCACATGATCATCTCCTTGTTTGAACGTTTAGAGATCAAATACGGAAAAGACTTGTTGCACCACACTCTGGCTTACATCACAGCAGCTAGGGCTGGCATAAGTGCAGCAGAACTAGAGGATGTTTTGTCCTGCGATGACGTTGTTTTGGAAAGCGTCTTTTCCAACTGGACGCCACCTGTCCGGCGTGTACCTCCATCTCTTTGGGCCCGAATTAAAGCTGATATTGCCCCCTTTCTTGCAGTGCATGTTGAAAATGGAGTTCTTTTGATCACATGGGCTCATCAACAGTTTCACAACGTTGCCATGGAGAGGTACATGTTCTCAGATGAGAAAGAACTTCGCCGCTGTCACTCGGAGTTGGCAGACTATTTCATCGGTCGTTGGACTCAGGGTGCAAAGAAAGGTGATGGAAAGGGTGTCGTGAAGGACCGCCATGTGTCTCCACAGCCACTTCAGTTCAGCAACAATGTGTTTAACTACAGAAAGTTGAAGGAACTGCCTTTTCATTTGTTGAAGTCAGATGATTTTGATAGGCTCAAGCAGAGCGCCCTCTGCAACTATGAATTTCTTTTAGTTAAGCTGAAAGCGACGTCCGTTCATGATGTTATTGATGATTTCATCGAGGCTTTGGGGGTCAAACCGGACGAGCCAGATCTAAAGCTTGTTTACGAGACTTTGCAGCTTTCGATGGAAGCCTTAAACGTGTCTGCTGATCAGTTGTCGTCGCAGCTCATTGGACGTCTTGCATCATCTCGATCACCTTCTCCCTTCATTGCACGTTTGCTACGTCAGGCTCATCACCCTTCCAGTCCAGCGTTAATACCCAACACCCGTTGTCTTGTACAACCAGGAGGAAGACTTGTGCACTCACTTCCAGGTCTTCATGGGTCTCTCGTCCTCAGTCAGGATGGCTCCAAAGCTTTGAATGGATCAGATGACCAGCTGATTACCCTCTGGAATGTCAAGAGTGGACTGATTGAGAAAACGCTAGATACGTCGAGTTCAATTGGCTGTCTCGACTTCTGTCTTGATGAACAGTTTGCGATTGCTTCGTGTCAGGGTTCTGTTCAGTTTTGGGACCTTTGCAAAGCACAAATGGTCTGGGAAATTCCCAGTACAGAAACACCCGCTCCAATCGCAGTAGCAGGAATTCGTGACACTCTAGTAGCCATTTTAGACAATGTCATCAAGTTTGTGAACCTGACCGATGGAACCCTCACAAGAGATTTTGTGGATAGGAAATTCCTCCATGACAGAATTGCTGGGCAAGGAGATAGTGTTGCCCTCGCTAGTTCAACCGCAAGCTACACCAGGATTTATGACCTCAAAACAAAAGACATTCGTCTGTCCATTCAGACTTGTGGAGAAGATTCGGGTGATTTTGTTAGCAAGGTGATTCTCACTCCATTTAATGGAGGCCAACTCATCGTCTCTTCCGAGAAATCTTGTGGTGTAAGAGTGTTTGAGTTGAACTCAGGAAAGTGTCTTCACGTCCTAGGACCAGATATTCTGTACCCTTCTGTGACCAAGAATGGGCGCCACATGTTGTGTACCAACAGCTTCAACGACATTGCAATCTGGAACTTGGAAACAGCTGTCAAGGAGAAGCAGATGTTGAAACATCCACCAACCACTGCCATTGTAAGAGTTTCTTGCGTCGATTTGAAGATGGTTGTGACAGTGTCAGATGACCTAATGGCACGAGTTTGGGACTTAGTGCCCCAGGGAGGTTCTGAAGTCAGCTTTGAGGACAACAAGGACAAAAATAGCATCCAGCAGCTTGTGCTGATCAAGAGCAGTGTTCAAAAGCAGGTCATCACCAAATCGAAGACTCCTGGTCCTATCTGCGTGTGGAACTTGAGTTCTTGTCAAATCATTCGAACCTTAGACAACACCAATGCGGATGAAGTTCTAGTTGTCGATGACACTCGGGCTGTCATTCGTTCTGGAACAAAGCTGGCGATAATTGACCTTCAAGAAGGAAAACTTATTAAGCACATGCGATCTGACTTCCCAGCCAAGACAGATAAAGTTCATCGCCATGCAAGCTCACTCTACAAGCGTCGTGACCTAGCCCTGCGATTGGCTGAGAGTCCAAGAGGGGCAGCTGCAACGGCAAGTTTGAAATTCAGTGACTGTGCTTTGGTTGGCACAACACATGTCCTCATCCTCTCTAAAGATCGCTCGTATCTCAAATTGGCATCTCTTGAAACAGGAGAGCTTGTAATGAAGCTCAAAAGCGGTCTTAACTCTATCATTGAGACAGTTATGGTCAGTGGCAATGGTTTGGTTGCAGTGAGTTCATGTGAAAATGCACCGCTCATTGTCTGGGACTTGAGGGAGAAAGCCAAGCGATACACGCTAGAAATCAGCGGTCACTACCCACGTTTGACAACTGCTGATATAAGCTTCAATGGTCACTACCTTGTCGATGTCATGAAGTTGGATAAGACGCACAAGTCTGTGGTCACGTGGGATCTGGAGACGGGGAAAGTCAAGCACATCATTGGTCAAGGAATGAACGTATGGAAGGTGGTGTCGTCGTCAATTAGTATGCGTATGGTTGTTGCGGGACGAATTGGCACCTGCGAGACCTTGCGAGTGTTCGACTTGGTCACAGGTGAATTTTACCACCAACTGAATGGACACACAGAACCCGTTAAAGGTTTGTGTCTCTCCAAAGATGGAAAACGAGTCTTGACCTACGTCCCCTTTGCTATTCGCGATCGCACAGTTCGCATGTGGGACTTACTGTCCGGTACCCTTCTTGCTTCCTTCACCCCAGATCTTCCCGTTTCCAGCTGCATCCTAACAGATGATGGCGACCAGGTTGTCATGGTAATTAACAGGTCGCGACCAATCGTATCTCTAGCCTTGTCGCACGAGGTTGGATCACGTGAGCTGTCGGTCGATGTTTCTAATCCTTACTTCAGTCATCCGACCCTGCACGGAGCCGTGTTTGATATGAGCGAGGAGCTTAAATGGGATGATCAGGATGGTGAAGGTGAAATTGATGTGTGACATTTTTTGTCACTACAACAGTTTCTTGGACATTTACACTGTGCAACAGAGGAAGCTGACTTAGAAACGCCTACGTCCCAGTAAAGGCGTTTGAGGCATTTATGCGCCAAACCTTTCCCTCTAGGAGTCGAACCTTGTCTCCATAAATGTTGCCGAACGTTAACCCTGGGATTAAACACTTACGATACTGAACCGAATTTGCAACGTAAGTTTTGCAGATGTGAGTGTAAGGGTCAACAAATTGGGAAGGCGAGTCGGAAGGGTGCTGCCTCAACTCGTCTGTGCGAAGTTATGGAGAAACAAATACCTATCCATGTGGCTCAACTGAGCTCATGCATGTTAAGTTTGCAACTTTATAAAATGTTTTATAAGGAGACATTTTTGTGGGACAGTGATTGTTATATTTGATTTTAGTTTTCAAACAGCCAACCGAATTAACTGTAGTATTTAGAAAGAAGTAAAAACAAGTAGTTAGGTCAAAACATTTTTATTTATGATAAAGCTTGATACGACTTTTCCGTGTGTACAATGCGAGGGATTTTTAAATTGTTTTGAAGTCCCAAGTTTCTGCACATCGAGGTCAGCGACTTTTCTTTTAGATTTTTGGGGTTTTTCTATGACTCGCAAATGATCTGTCACGATCATGAAACTAATCGATTGGTTGACTGTTGTCTCATGTTTTACACGAAATACGATTTTTAAAGCCTTTTTTGAGACGAGAATGGACGTCTATGGATCAGAGTCTCGTCGTCATTTGTTTCGGCTATAAAGAACTGGACAGTGACGAAATCAATATGAAGGCCTTCAAAGGAAGAATACTTAATTTACTTGTAGCTGTGCTTAGCAAAACGCAAGGGAATCTTTTCCTTTCACGAATGACAACTTTGCTTATTTTTGGCATCGGCCTCTAACAACTCATCGCGAACCCAGAGCTATTGCAATGGAGAATTTCTATTGAAAGTTGTCGTGAAATGGACTAAAATGCTAGGAATAACGATGAGATAATTATATTTAATCTAAATTATTGTCGAATGAAAAGTTATTGACTATTATTGATGTTTAAGGATACGATGGTTTCTTGTGTGTAAAAGATGTAAGTTATTTTTACATTTTTTATATTGAGAAATTTTTCTATAATATATTATGCTTGTGTGCACACATTTTTCTCTGATAAAGTTTTGAAATAGAAAGAAAAATAGTTGAAGGCGTAAATATCTGGAGCTTTAACACCGTTAAGCATTGGTCAAACTCTCTCAACATTTTGATAAAGCATTTTTCAATATATTTGGCACACTGTGCTCGTGGTGGCCAAACGTTTTGAATCGGCGGGAATGGATGAATCAAGCTTTCGTCCCGGCAACATTTCACCTCACGATCGAACATGGCCTTACAAGTTGATGAAATGGTCGAAACATTTTCACCCTAAAACGGTGAATGATGATGGATCGGAATGTTAGGGCTACTTGACCATGGCTTAGTGAATGCTAATTATTTATCTGTTTGAATGTAAATGTGTAAAAAATAAATCGCTTTGTAGAATATTTTACCGTGAAGTTTTTAAGACGGGAAGGTTTTTGTGTTAGATTTCTAACGAGTCTCTTTTAAAAGTACCTTTTTTAACTTGATTAGTATTAGTATTTATATTCGGTATTTTATATTTTTCTAGGCAGCATTAAATAGACTTTCAAGAGGTGCTATGAAGTTTTATCCCATGTTGTTAATTTTAATTTGTTGAATAGGTAATGTTAATTTTACCGAGAACAAGGGTCTACAACCGTAGACAAATACAGTTGGAGCGCTAGCCTTTCGAAAACTTGACTTTTCAGGCTCGGTGAATGTCGTATATTATCGTTTTTAGGCTCCTCCTCCCAAAATTGAGTTAGAATGTTTTGGTGCAAAGTGTTCGAGAGTTCAATATTGAGGCGGAGAGGAGGAAGAAAAGAAAGAATTTTGGTAAGCTTTGAAGAGTATTGTTCATGAAACAGCATGTTGACGTCTCCTAAGGTCTAGTTTAATCAGGAGGGAAAGCTTAATCGAATGTCGGATTCTCCGCGGTCAATGTGAAATGGCCGCAACAGTATGTTCAATCAATCGGAACTTGAAGCGAAAACATGGAACTGGGTTGCAAGCGCGGGAAAGGTCAGGTGATTACTCGCTGCAACGACTTTTTCATTGATGACATTGATCGTTTCTCCGTATTTCATTGATATCCTTCGCGACTTTCGCTCGAAAAAATGTAAGCCGTAGAGATGTTTGGACGACAAAGTGGAACTTGTTTAATTTTCTGTTTTTGTTTCCTCATAACAACAATCCAGCCGACCAATTACAGCATTTTCGGGATCTCTGACAACTATCAACAAGTGCTTTGTATTGTACAGCTTTTTTAATAATACAGGAAATTTGTTCCCTTCACCTAAATTGACCGTCAGTGCCTCTTTTTCTCGTGCAATAATGTATCAGCTAAGGACATCTGGTAAGCATCAGCTCCACATGTGAGTTTTTCATCTGGAATTTCCATTTTTAAGCGATGACTTATAACGTCATCGCATAATGCTAGTATACGACCTTCCTTTGGATAACTGATGTCGCGTTCATGTCGCGCGCGATTCATCCTGAAATCGAAGCGAGGAGAACAGGGAACTAAACCCGTTTCCTTGCAAACCGCCATCTTGATTTTCGGGATAGAGTGAAATCGTTTTTCGGCGGCTTGTAGCATGGACGAAGTGTTGGTTAGATTAGATTGATTGTTGTATTTTATCCATTGTCTTCTAGTTACGTTTAAGCATCCGTTTGTTTGTTTATTTTCCAATTTTCTAGACAGAAGGTTAGTAATGGCAGTTAAATGTCATCGCTTCTGCATGCATTGCATGCCGTTTATTGCTTAGGACAGACGAAGTTGTCGTTTCTTGTGTAGTGTTCATAGTACTGTGAAATAAAAGCCAACATCTTCGATGTTGAACATTTTGCAACCGGGCTAACTCCATGCTCGAGTGTTTGTGTCTCTGGACCATAGCGCGTGAGCGAGGTCTTTTGAAATAACCTGCAATACAGTTAACACCCGCATATAAGAACACATGGATTAAGAACATCAGGCTGAAATTTGGCAAATAAAGCACCACTTTTATAAGAACAATATCAGCCTGGAAAAAAANAACGTCATCGCATAATGCTAGCATACGACCTTCCTTTGGATAACTGATGTCGCGCTCATGTCGCGCTCGATTTATCCTGAAATCGAAGCGAGGAGAACAGGGAACTAAACCCGTTTCCTTGCAAACCGCCATCTTGATGTTCGGGATAGAGTGAAATCGTTTTTCGGCGGCTTGTAGCATCGACGAAGTGTTGGTTAGATTTCCAGTTATTAAACGTAGGTATCGGAACTGGATTGATTGTTGTATTTTATCCATTGTCTTCTAGTTACGTTTAAGCATCCATTTGTTTGTTTATTTTCCAATTTTCTAGACAGAAGTTTAGTAATGGCAGTTAAATGTCATCGCTTCTGCATGCATTGCGTGCCGTTTATTGCTTAGGACAGATGAAGTTGTCGTTTCTTGTGTAGTGTTCATAGTACTGTGAAATAAAAGCCAACATCTTCGATGTTGAACATTTTGCAACCGGGCTAACTCCATGCTCGAGTGCTTGTGTCACTGGACCATAGCGCGTGAGCGAGGTCTTTTGAAATAACCTGCAATATTCAAAATTAAGGAGGCGACAAGGAAAATAGGTAATCTGTATGGAAGGTCACAATAACAACGCCATTTGACGTTAACAGTTGCTATCATCTTTTCCGTCAGTGGTTTCCTCGGCGGGCAACAATACTGGTGTTTTGTTCCTTTTTGTAGCATCGATTCTCTGTTTTAATCTGGCAAGCATCTGAATTTCGCGTTCCACAGATTCAGACTCTTCACGAAGTGACGACTCCTCCTGTTTTCTTTGCAAAGATCTCATTTTCTCTTGGACTAAGGTCTCAAGTAAATTCAATTTGTCAGCTTCATTTGGCGTCTTGGAGGTCTTGTTCTGCATATTGTTTTTTGTGGGCTGTTCGACTTCATGACCGCGAAGATTGAATCTTACAAGCGTCTTACCCCTTCCACCGTCATCGTGCACCTTTTCAAAGCTGTTTTCATCACTTCCATTGAATTTCAGTCTATTCGTCAAATTGGCATTCTCTTCTTCGACGTCGATACCTTTGCTCGTAGAATTTTGAGATTTCTCGTTCAGATGCATAACTTCAAAGAGCCTTAAATCTTCAACAAAGTCATCGGTGTAAACCTCGTTGACGAGATGTCGAAGGCGGCGGAACTGACTTTTATCGATGTAGTTCTTCTGAGACCTTAACCTAACTTCAACGGGATCTTCTTCCTCCACAACTTGCTCCTTCTCCCTCTCCATTCCCGCTATCTCAAGAAACTTATCCATAAATATCTCAAAAATTCCAGATTCAAAGGATTTCTCTTTTTGTCGCCCACGATCTTCAATCAACGTTTTTCTATATCCTACAATGAATACCGACCGAATCATAGTTAAGTAAAAGAAGATCAGAGTCACACAACACGAAAATAAAGCCACTGCTCGTACAACTGTATGTGAGGTTACAACCTCTTTGGTTCTAACCATTCGAGCCATGTATGAAATTGAGGTCTGCAGTGAACTGGAGAAGTCTTTGAAATTGTCGCTGTCGCCACTGAAAGCAATTGAGAACAGTGACGTGAATGCCATCATTAGACAGACGAACACCAACAGACACCCAAGCAGGTCATAAAAGCATCCCGCGATGGTGGTCAGGATGTGCTCCAAACAGCCGAGAAACTTTAAGAAAACCGAAAACCTCACAATGGCTATGAAATTGAGGAAAGCAAAAGCGTAGTCGGTTAACTCGTCGTAGAACCCACACTGGTAAAAGTCGAGGAACTGCTTTGGGTTTGCATTAAACTGATCAGTTGCTAGCTTTTTGAAGCCTTCTTTAAGAACTTTCAAGAACACGATTACAACGCCAGAGAACACAAAAATGAGGTCCAAAACTTTAGCAGGATCTTTGAAGTATCGGCACTTGTCGTGAAATATGGTAAGAACGACACGATATATCATGAAGACGAGCACAATGGCAGCGATAACTTCGCCAGTTATTCTAACAGCAGGGTGTTTCCTCAAAGAACCATACATGCTCACGGTGAAGGCCTCGAAACTTTTGAAGACGCCACCCAATGGTGGAAGCTCAAATGTAATCGTCACAGCCGCAACCATATTGATAGTGGGGTTATAGGCGACAAACTCGGCGTGAACCGCCCTGCTGCGACTGTCTAACCAGAATAAATTTTGTTGCTGATCTATATCTACACTCCTGTTCAGATTCATGACATAACCACCTCCACTGTAGGTTGAAAATTTCCCAATGACTGGCAGCACATGATAGGCCCCAAAGTTGCTAATGTGCTCCCAGGGCGAATGCACGTGGTCTGATTTCCTAGACGAGAATGAAAAGATATTCCCCTTGTCTGTATTTTCTGGTTTTTCTGTTGCATTTTCCCATCGTGGAGCATAAAACTTCGTGTCGTCTTTGCTCATTGAGTAGAATCCATTGCATTCACTAAAAATGTCTTTGAACCAAGTGTTGACTTCGCAGGTTCCTAAATAAGGTAATCAGAGAAGTAATGCAATGTCTGATTATGTATAGTTTTTTCCATATTTTGAATTCCAGATCAAATTCGTTTCATTAAACTCAATTTAGAACTCTGCATCAAATTTTGATTCTACGTTGCAATTATTTAAATGAGAAGATATATCAAACGCTCACAGGAGCCCATCACTCAATATTTAACCACATTTCGAAACACCTCGAAGTTCGTCATAAATACTCCGCTGCGCGTTGTATTTTGAACTCTCTTCTCGGCCTTTGGACATATGGTAAAACACGGTCTCTCGTATTTGCTATTTCACTTCATTAGAAAATTGAAGCCTCAGTTTAAGACTCAAAAAGGTTCAATTCGTGCCAAACTTAAAAACATTATGTGACTCCTTCGTGCAAACATTTTATATTTATTTTCTTTGCCCGTGCTATTATTATTTATTTTGACTGGATAATGACGATAAGGAAGCGTGGAAACTTCGCCGCTTCTTTTTAACAAAAAAGGTTTCAACTTTTTCAGTTTGACCGAATGGTTTATAGCAAGTAATTCTTATGGATGTATATTGCTAAGTAGAACCAACTTGACTGACACTAAAGCAATACTATGGCTACCCGTTGACGTTCTGATACACCAAATGGGAATTTTACCTTTCTGAACACGAACTTGCCGTAACCTAGCCACACCCAACTGCAGTGACATTCTGTCGGCAATGTACGGTTCACTTTGGAGACCATCGTACAGTGGCCCAGGGTGCAGGCCTGGTAGCAAGGTTCGTCTCGTCCAGTCCCAAATGGAACTGACGGTGTTCACCTGTTAATAAATAGACCCATCGTAAAAGATTATAAGGTTGTACCACGAAACACTAGATTTTGGAAGCTGGAACTGTGGAAGATTACCCTACTCTGATCTAGAGGTCGGAGATTCCAATCCCACTGAGATCGGAATGACGGCTCGCGTATGACACAGTTGCAAGGTACTGAATTGGAAGCGGCAGCTTGATACACTTTTAGCTATGTCTACGTGGTTGGAGATTGTAGACGAGTTTGGGAACCCGAGGTAAGAGAAATTTTGTGCTATAACTAAGTAAAGGTACTGAGAAAGTAAATTGTCCTGTCAACCAATACAATATAAAAAACAACAACCAGGCTGGTTACATTGAATCGGATGCATTAACATCTTGATTAATACTTTCGGTTTTTTGTCCTATAAGTGTAGGACGCGTACCTGGTCAAAGCGAACACGAGTACTGTTCTGGATTGGATCTACAAACACGCGCCGCAAAGTGTTTATCATCTTGTACGAAGCTGGGTTCCTGTACTGGAAACTTAAAATCATCACCATTGCCAACAGAATCACGTACACGGACAGATCTGTGAAGAGTTTGATGGTCTGACGTCTCCTAATCTCTCGAATCCGCAAGATTTTCAAGATTTTCTTACTGGGGGGATCGTACTGGGAGAGTTCGTCATTCGTCAAATCTTGTTCCACCTCGTTGGCGTCGTCTAGACAACAAATGTTCGTAAACCATAGTCAATACGTATACAAGACAAGCACAAGTACAAAACAAACACATTTATGGGTTTTCGTCTTGCGATGCTGCTGCTACTGGTGCAGTGAACATGCATTTTACCAAAGAGTAAACAAACTTAAACTATAAAGTAAATAGACCTCTTCTATAAAAAAATGTCCAGATTTTAAAGGGTCATGCATGTGAACGCCATGTCCTCGGATACAGTGCTCTTCACATTTTTCATGACGATAAAGCTTTTATTCGGTTTGCTTTTGATTCAAAAGTCTTGAGAAAAACTGTAATTAATTTGATATCTCATACTTTTTAAAAGCACCGCCTAAGACCAGGCTTCATATGGCTCTCGAATGTTTGCGATGTCGCCACCGCCCCCCGCATGAGACACCGCCCAGAAAACACCAATTGGTCAAGGTCGTTACTGTTAGTGTGTCTAGCGTCCCTGCAACATACTCGCAGTAAACAGTTTTGGGATCACCATCTGAAATATAGCTTGGGCAATCTCCGGGCCATGGAATCGCAGGCATTCCCAGGTTATGTGAGAAACAGCCGAAATTGTATCTCTCTTCAAAATTTTTGTACGTTATTCATCAGCACTCATTGGTACTCTTCACAGTCCTCGTGATATTTTCCAGTACAACAAACTCCCAAAAAAAC